TTTCTTAACCATGGCCTAGAGTATCTCAAAAGACACTAATTTATACTATCAATTTTGTTCATATTATCCTGATTTAATGAAAAACAAGGAAATATGTAGTATTGATCGGTCGAACGCAGACAGGATTTCTGGCACGTTCGCTACTCCGAACCCCACCATAACGTATCTCACACTTTGTACGCTGGAATGTATATATACGTTACTAATACAATATTAAAACCAGTTTATATGTGAACACACACACTGACAAATATTGTGTGACCATGTAGTAGAACCGGTTGAGTGGGAATCCGAGAGAGAAAGAGATATATATATATATATATATTAAACGATTCACGAGATCTCAATATCAGATAGAATGAAGCAACAACTTGCGTTTATAAACCAACTTATCTTCTTATATTTCCAAAATATATTTACGAATTAAAAATAAAAACAAAGAAAAATACGCACATACGTAAAACACTGAATAGTATATATATATGAACTGGAGAGATATAATGCAACGTTCGTATCACTACGAGCTGGTGAGAGCAGACTAACGTTCTGCTTCTATCTAAGCCTGGGCTCGTGTGCAATCAGAAACGGCGAACATGGTTGGAGGTGGTGGCAGTCCTGGTAATGCTAGTACTGGTTTTGTTGGTGTTGGTGATGCTGACAGTGGGGGGTGGGAAGTTCAACTCAAAGAGTGAGTGAATAAGAGAGTGAGTGAGTGAGAGAGAGAGAGAGTGTGAGAGAGAAGAAAGTAAAAGAAGAAGAAGAAGAAGAGATAGACTTGCCTAGACTGTGTTGGAAAAAGGGCGACCATGAGAGAAAGTAAGAAAGAGAGAGACAGTAATGTGCGTGCGCCGCAACAGGTTACACTCTCACCCCTTTTGATACGCTCCTGGATACGTTCCGGTCTACGTCATTATCCTTCTTCTTCCTACATTTTTTTTTTCCTTATTTCTTTTCTATTCTCCCCCTCAAACCCCCCTTTTTCTTCTTTTATTCTTTCTTTTTTTTATTTCTTTCGGTGTCCTATTTATTTATTTCGTTAATTTCGAACACGTTTCTTTTCCTTTCACCCTACCTACCTATCTCCCCTTTACTTATCTTATTTCAAATCCCTACCATTCTTGTTTTATCTTCTTATTTCTTTTACTTGTATGTCTGTCTCTGTCTCTTTCTCATTTTTATTTTGATTTTCTTACCTTACCTTACCTTTCCAAATCTACTTAGTCATTCCTATTTACTTTTAATATTTTCCTTACTTCTTATATTCGAATCCGTTTTATCGATTAATTTTTTTTGTTTGATCGTTCTCCCGCTTACTTTCCCCCTATACATTATTATTATTATTATTTTGTTTCTCTCTCTCTCTCTCTCTCTCTTTCTTATTACGTTTTATTTCACTTTTATTTTTCTTCTATTTTTTATTAAATATTCTGTTACATTATATATATATATATATATATATATATATTAAATCTTCTTTAATATCTCTTTTTTCGATATTACAATTTATTATTTCTTCTTTTATTCGCGCGTCAAGCATATATTTACGCGAATTTAATTACGATTCTATGTTATTTCTTTATTTCTATTTTCTCTCCTCTTATTCGTTCTCTCTTTAATTTTCTAGGTCAAGCTTGATTATCGAACGATTTCTTATACAGCAAGATATATGTTTTCCCATCCAATATTATTCATGTTTCCTTTTGATTTTTTCTATTCTAAAGGGTACTAGGCGAAGGACGAAATAATCTATGAGAGTTTAAATCGATTTTTAGATAACGTTCATAACTGTTTACCAAAGACTAAATGGAAACTAGTTAAATGTTTCGTGCAAAATAATGGAACGTGGTCATGATAAAGAAATATGTTTCGTGTTACTGGTAAAGTCCCTCCTCCTACTCCTCCACCACCACTCCTGTCTTTTGTCCTCCTCCAAAGATATTCTATGTATATGCAAAATACCATGAAAAGTAAGAACAGAGAGAGAGAGATTTATGAGATATACGCAATATATATATAACTGAAATAAATAATTATTTCATTTTCGAGAATGTTTTTCACAATTTCTGTCAGAAACAATAATACGTAAGGGATGACGAAGAATTTCAATGCAAAACGAGCGCGAAACTTTTCAATTCCTTCCTTCTTATTTAATATCTCGACGATTTATTAAAAAAGAAAAAAAAAGAAAAAAAAAAAGAAGAAGAAGGATGAAATCAATGAAAAGAAAGTAATGAATTCTTGTTGATCTCATTCGAATACAATGTTACGTATGAAACTTAACAATTCAAATGAAAATCTTTGCGATTTATTTTGTTACAATCGTTAGATTGTTCGATAATAACTTTGATAATTACATTTTAATATCTGTTACAATGTATATATGAAATATAACGAACATTTTATTTTTTTAATCAAGAAATTAACGAAGATTTCAAAAAAAAAAACACAACGTATTTATTTTCTCTTCATTGTTATTATTTATGTGTTAAATTTCATTAACATGAGAGTAATGTCGCCTGATGATAGGCAACATATCAGATATCGTCGATAATGTAGTTTCCTTTCTTCTAAAAGCTTCTATTAGTCGATTGTCACTTATTACACGAGAGAGAGAGAGAGAGAGAGAGAGCGTGTACGAACGTATTGCCTATCGCCAGGCGCTGAATAATGTATAAGAGTAATTATATTTTTATTATTTTATAGTAAAAAAAAAAAAAAATCTCTAAACCCAAACATTCTTAACTTTTTCATACATTTTTTCAACTTATACGAACAAGTTGAAGTATCATATTTGAATAAGATCAATACCCCGATTTTCGACAAATCTAATAAACATTTCGTATCTTCGTCGATGTAATATATATATATATATAAAACAAAGAAAGAGAGAGAAACAAATTACTTTTGAGAATATTATTATTTAATTGGAAATTATATTTGTTTCTGCGAAAGGATACGATGGTGGCAATGATGACTAACGAATATCGAAAAACGTATTTCCTGTATCATATATAACATACATATTCATGTTTTACGTAATGTCGTCAGAAAGTCATGCGAATAAATCATTCTATTTTTGAACCATTGGAAACTTTTTTCCAACCTTTATACTAAATATTATATTTGTCTCTCTCTCTCTTTCTCTCTATTTCTATCTCTATCTCTCTCTTTCCGACGGCCATCAATAAAAACGTTTTAAAAACATACGTTTTGTCTCTTTCTCTCACTCTCTCCCTCTTTCGCCAAACGATTTTCGGCAACCATTGATGGAAATGTTTCAAAAACACTCGTGTTTTATCTTCCCTCCCATCTTCTCTATCGATTCTCATTGTTTGTTTGTTTTTTTTTTCTTTTTTTTGTTATATCGATTAAAGTTAAGTAAATATATATATGTGAAATAATAAATTTCAATATATACGATTTTTAATATAAGTTTTATTAAAATTTATTCACTTTTAGCATTAAAAATATTTACCATATTTTCAATACTGAAGATATCTAAATTATTAAACACTAATCTAGATAGAATCAGTATTTGATTACGTGTGATAAGATAAGGTGTTTAGGATCAAATTGTATTGTAATATGTWAAGTTTTATTGAAATGTATGACTCTGTAAAAAAGATAATATGTATTGACACGTGAACTGTAAATGATCAAGTTGCTGATGAAGTCCCCAGTAAGGGASRAAACGTACAACTAGTTCAAATTAATTGTTCATAAGATTTATTAACCGTCTGTAACTCCCTTTGAGACTTATATATTAATAACATATTTGTGGACAAGAATATTGATAATTAAATTATATAATATCTCGACGAGCGTAATTTCATTTGAATTTGTTAATATAAGAAAAGAAGTACGAGAAAGAAGAAGAAGAAGAAGGGTCGAAATTTTTGTCGATCTTTATTTCTTCAACTTTAAAATAAATTCGTCCCATTTTTGTGAATTTATTATTTTTTTTTTTTTTTGGATTAGTTGGATAAAAATAAAAAGAAATTCTCTTTGTGTTTTCGTTTCAATTAACGAAATTAATTAACTTTGTTGAGAATTCGTAACTACTATGGCCTTTTCTACGAAGCTTCTCTAGAGATAACTAATACCACGTTTATTTCTTTCTGGAATTTCTCGTTAAATGCGATTTCAGAGCTTAGAAAGACAGAGTGATTAGAAACTAGAGAGAGAGAGAGAGAGAATGAGAAAATTCTTTTATAAAAAAATGATCTATTTTATAAACACAATACATAATGATAAACATTATTTTTTAATTGAATTTTTTCTTCCCTTTCATTTAAATTTACTTTATTAATTTATATAAATGATCAGAGATGTATGGTCAGAGAGTTTATTTGCAAAAATATTATATGTGTTTTTAATTAATTAAAATTTTCAATAGATCGCGCGTCGTTTACTTTGATATATTTATTATTTTGTTTTAAGATAATTCAATAATCATAATTTGTAATGGAATAAAACAAAGACCATTGACTCGATTTATCGTCTACTTTTTAAATTCATTTGTTAAAAGGGTTGTTATTTTTTCCTTTTTTTTTTTTTCTCTCTTTACTTTCCTT